AGCCTCGGAGCTGAACCCAGCCTAGGAACAGAGCCCCGGGCCATGCAGGCAGGAAAGCCCGGAGCTGGAGCCATGGAGAGGAGGGGATGAGGGCTGGCAGGAAAACCCGGAGCTAGAGAGAGACGGAAATGGGGCCAGGAGGAAGGAAATCCTGGAGCTGGGGCGAGGGAAGGGAGGGAATGGGGGCAGAAGGAAGGAAATCCTGGAGCTGGGACGAGGGAAGGGAGGGAATGGGGGCAGAAGGAAGGAAATCCTGGAGCTGGGACGAGGGAAGGGAGGGAATGGGGGCAGAAGGAAGGAAATCCTGGAGCTGGGACGAGGGAAGGGAGGGAATGGGGGCAGAAGGAAGGAAATCCTGGAGCTGGGACGAGGGAAGGGAGGGAATGGGGGCAGAAGGAAGGAAATCCTGGCTCTGGAGCAAGAGAGGTGAGGGAATGGGAGCAGAAGGAAGGAAATCCTGGAGCTGGGGGGAAGGGAGGGAATGGGGGCAGAAGGAAGGAAATCCTGGAGCTGGGACGAGGGAAGGGAGGGAATGGGGGCAGAAGGAAGGAAATCCTGGAGCTGGGACGAGGGAAGGGAGGGAATGGGGGCAGAAGGAAGGAAATCCTGGCTCTGGAGCAAGAGAGGTGAGGGAATGGGAGCAGAAGGAAGGAAATCCTGGAGCTGGGGTGAGGGAAGGGAGGGAATGGGGGCAGAAGGAAGGAAATCCTGGGGCTGGGGCGAGGGAAGGGACGGAATGGGGGCAGAAGGAAGGAAATCCTGGCTCTGGAGCAAGAGAGGTGAGGGAATGGGGGCAGAAGGAAGGAAATCCTGGAGCTGGGGCGAGGGAAGGGAGGGAATGGGGGCAGAAGGAAGGAAATCCTGGAGCTGGGGCGAGGGAAGGGAGGGAATGGGGGCAGAAGGAAGGAAATCCTGGAGCTGGGGCGAGGGAAGGGAGGGAATGGGGGCAGAAGGAAGGAAATCCTGGAGCTGGGGCGAGGGAAGGGAGGGAATGGGGGCAGAAGGAAGGAAATCCTGGCTCTGGAGCAAGAGAGGTGAGGGAATGGGAGCAGAAGGAAGGAAATCCTGGAGCTGGGGCGAGGGAAGGGAGGGAATGGGGGCAGAAGGAAGGAAATCCTGGAGCTGGGGCGAGGGAAGGGAGGGAATGGGGGCAGAAGGAAGGAAATCCTGGAGCTGGGGCGAGGGAAGGGAGGGAATGGGGGCAGAAGGAAGGAAATCCTGGAGCTGGGGCGAGGGAAGGGAGGGAATGGGGGCAGAAGGAAGGAAATCCTGGCTCTGGAGCAAGAGAGGTGAGGGAATGGGAGCAGAAGGAAGGAAATCCTGGAGCTGGGGCGAGGGAAGGGAGGGAATGGGGGCAGAAGGAAGGAAATCCTGGAGCTGGGGCGAGGGAAGGGAGGGAATGGGGGCAGAAGGAAGGAAATCCTGGAGCTGGGGCGAGGGAAGGGAGGGAATGGGGGCAGAAGGAAGGAAATCCTGGAGCTGGGGCGAGGGAAGGGAGGGAATGGGGGCAGAAGGAAGGAAATCCTGGCTCTGGAGCAAGAGAGGTGAGGGAATGGGAGCAGAAGGAAGGAAATCCTGGAGCTGGGGCGAGGGAAGGGAGGGAATGGGGGCAGAAGGAAGGAAATCCTGGGGCTGGGGCGAGGGACGGGAGGGAACGGGGCAGCAGGAAGGAATCCCAGAGCAGGAACCAGCAGGGAGACACAAAACCCGGAGTTCTACCGGCCTGGGAATGGCTCCAGGGGCTGAGGACAGTAAAGCCCAGAGCAGAGCCAGTGGGGAGTCCCAAAGCCTGAGGCGGAGCTGAACGGGAGGGACCTGAACCAGAGACAGACAGCCCGGCCCAGAGCCTACCAGGGAGATGGAAATTCTGGGGTGGAGCTAGTCCAGAAAGGAAGTGACATGAAACCCAGAGCAGAGCGTGACAAAATCCGGACCAGAGGAGACAGAGCCGGGGCCAGAGAGTCCCAGAACCGGGGACCAACCCGCTATGCTGCTCTGTTCCATGCCTGCATGTGTCCCCCTCTCCTGGGATCCGGCTCCATGCTCCCAGTGCTCCAGTCTTGCATTCCCCTTGGGATCCAGCTTCGTATGTCGCCCTAGACCCAGATCCGTGTTTCCAGAGCTGTCTGTATATATACTCCCCCTCCCTTGAAATCCAGATCCACATTTCCCAGCTCACCAGTCTATACAGTCTCCTCCCACCCCCAAGATCCAGCTCGTTTTCCAGTGCACCATATACCTCCCTTGTCTGTATATTATCTCCCTCCCCTCATTGAAATCATGTTCCCCGGCTCTCCGGTCCATACACTCTCCCCTCCTCTCAGGATCCAGTTCCGTGTTTCCCAGCTCTCCGGTCCATACACTCTCCTCTGCTCTCAGGATCCAGATCCGTGTTCCCTGGCTCTCCGGTCCATACACTCTCCCCTCCTCTCAGGATCCAGTTCCGTGTTTCCCAGCTCTCCGGTCCATACACTCTCCTCTGCTCTCAGGATCCAGATCCGTGTTCCCTGGCTCTCCGGTCCATACACTCTCCCCTCCTCTCAGGATCCAGTTCCGTGTTTCCCAGCTCTCCGGTCCATACACTCTCCTCTGCTCTCAGGATCCAGATCCGTGTTCCCTGGCTCTCCGGTCCATACACTCTCCCCTCCTCTCAGGATCCAGTTCCGTGTTTCCCAGCTCTCCGGTCCATACACTCTCCTCTGCTCTCAGGATCCAGATCCGTGTTCCCTGGCTCTCCGGTCCATACACTCTCCCCTCCTCTCAGGATCCAGTTCCGTGTTTCCCAGCTCTCCGGTCCATACACTCTCCTCTGCTCTCAGGATCCAGATCCGTGTTCCCTGGCTCTCCGGTCCATACACTCTCCCCTCCTCTCAGGATCCAGATCCATGTTTCCCAGCTCTCTGGTCCATACACTTTCCCCTCCCCTTGGGATCCAGATCCATGTTTCCCAGTACTCCAGTCCATATATTCCCTCCTCCACTTGGGATCTGGGACCTCTGGTCTCTATATTCTTCCCTGGCCCCAGAGGGGAGGAAGCCAAACAATAGGGCTGCCTTCCTGTCTCCCTGCAGCAGGAAGTCACACCTCCCTCTGCCCCACTGCCCCTTACAAGCCCAGCTGGGGCGGGCAGAGCTTAGACAGGGAAGGGGGGGAGTAAAGACCAGGACATACCAGACCCCCTATCACAGAGGGGAATGGGAGCAACCTCAGATAGCAAAAGATGTCGGGAAGGGCCTGTGGAACTCCTTGCTACTGGGTCTCTGAACCTGAGGGGCCCTGGCGAGGAGGGCCCAGGGATGCGCCGGGAGGGGAGATT